TTTATTATTTCTTGCCTCTGTCTTGTAATATGAGAAACTACTTTGGCAGTAACAATACACAATGTACTAACCATTGTTACTCTCCCAAAATCTTGTTTCGAGATTTTGTACCATTTTTTTTCTTTAAAATAAGATAACTGATGTCAAAAAAAAGTGACTAAAAAATTAAAAGTCATCACCTAGATTTGTACATAAAGAACAGACAGATGATTTACTGCACTTAGGTCATTTATATAGTGGTATTTAGTTTTTAAGATATGTATAGATGATACACCAGACTACAGCTAAGAAAAAAATAGTTGTCAATAAAATTATGGCAAAAAAAAAAAAAAAAGAAGTGAATGACACTTCATGTTAGTTCCATGTACCAGTGGCCATATGGACAATTTTTTGATATGTTTCTCATTTTATGAAAATACCTTGGGCTCAGCTTCTGTACAAGAGCCACATCCTTCAATTCCCCGACCTAGGTAGTTATCAGTTATTCACAGATTTTCACTTGAAAAGGTTTTGCCCTTAGGATGAAGCTGAGTCTTAGGGAGCTTTTATGGCTAACATTTTTTAGTGGTGTTTTAGAATGAAGTGTTAGTTATTGTTGTAATCTTTGAAGTTCTTGAATAATAGAGTTTTCTTTTTCCAACTATTACAAGCCAGTGCAGGTTTACCACTACCTTATATTGGTCATTCTTCCCCCCCGCCCCCTTTCTGGTGCCAGGGATTGAACTCAGGACCTTGTGCTTGCTGCTGAGCTATCTCCCTGGCCCCTGTTTATGCTTTTTAAAAAGCTCTTGCTTGGGGCCGGAGAGATGGCTTAGTGGAATAAGCGCTTCTCTGGCAAGCACAAGGGCCTGAGTTCAATCCCTGGTTCTGCCAAAAAAAAAAAAAAAACACCTTTTGCTAACAGTTACTTGGTACTCAGTCCCAATGCAGTGTCACCTATGTTACATAAAATGTTTAAGATGGCAGTGACCTGCACTTTCTAACAGTTTTTGTCCTGTCCAAAGTTGGGTGCCACTTTACAATAGAGTTTTATTTCTACCTCGTGTGTTAGTTGTAAGAGGTCTGTGAACTAGGTTCCATTAGACATGTCTTCTTTTGTCTTCCAGGCTGAAAAACGTTTATTGTTATCTTAGGGCGAAAAGTGAAAATGACAAACCTTGTAATGTCCCTTAATTTTCTGGGGCAGGGTGTAGATCTCTTACAATGATATTTCATTGGCCAAGACAAATTAATATGGCCAGGTCCATAGGAAGTATTTACACTTAAAGACATTATTGTAAGTCACCAGGCCCAAAGACAAAAAGGGATAGGATAGTTAGGAACAGTAGAATTCCTTACACACCAACTTGTAGATATATATCCCCGGAAGCACTGCTTTTAAACTGCTCTGGTTTTAGCTGAAGAGAAACATTGAGAAGTATCAGTCTATAGGTGAGTACTCACAGGATCATTTCACCAGGCTTGGTAGTGCCTGCCTGTGATCTCAGTACTTGGGAAGCTGAGGCAGGAGGATAACTGAGTTCCAGGCCTGCCTGGACTGTAAAGTGAGTTCAACATTAATCTGAGCACTGTCTCAGAAAGATAAAAACCAAACCAAAAAAACCCGAAAGATCACCTGGGGTAAGGAAGGATGCTAGAGTCTTCCTGGGAGAGGCATTTGCAAAGATTATTGAGAAGGAGCTGTTAAAGGTAGTGAGGAGACAAAAAAGAAGGGTCCTGCACCTTTGTTATAAAGCTGGTTTTGCTTCAATATTTGTAACTTTTTTTTTTTTTTTTTTTTGGTACCAAGGATCTAACTGAGGACCTTGTGCTTGCCAGGCAGGCACTTATGCCACTGAGCTATTTCCCTATCCCAGCAGTTACAACTTTTTTTTTTTTTTTGGCGGAACCAGGGATTGACCTCAGGCCCTTGCGCTTGCCAGGGAAGCGCTTATTCCACTGAGCCATCTCCCCGGCCCCTCAACTTTTTAAAAAAATATATTCGGTTGTTACAGGTCTTATTATGCAGCTCAGACTCCTGTTGATCCTCCTGCTTTCAGCCTCCCCAGCACTGGGATTACAGTTTGCCACTATTCCTGGCCCACCTTGGGGGGAGGGGCTGGCGTGGCATGTGGTGCGGGGACTGAACTGCAGTCCCTGTGCTTGCCTAAGTTTGCCTAAGCAGGCACTTTAGTCCGCTGAGCTATCTCAGCGGCTCTGAACAGTTATAATTTTTAAAGAAGAAATACGAGTACTTTATTTTTTAAATGGTTTTTTCCTTATTTATTTATTGAATACAGGGTCCCACTACGCAGTACAGACTCATAGTGATCCCCCTGTCTCAGTCTCCCCAGCGCTGGTATTACAGGTGTGTGCCACTACACCTGGTTTCTAGAAATCCAAGTACTTCAAATTTTGCGAGTATTGGGGAGATGGCTCAGTAGAATAAGTGCTTGCCTGGCAAGAGCAAGGGCCTGAGTTCAATCCCCGGTTCCACAAAAAAAAAAAAAAAAAAAAAAAAAAAAAATTGCCAGCACCCACTATCATACTGTGCTACAGTTTCCAAGTAGCACAAGAAATTTAATACTTTTTTATTTTATTACAGAGATTTGCCACAGTATGGACAGAAACAGTGGCAGTCCTACTTTGGAAGAACTTTTGATGTTTACACCAAACTCTGGAAGTTCCAGCAGCAGCATCGGTAAAGGAACTTTTTTTCAGTTAAACAAGAGTGCAAGTCCATTTTATACTAATCGCAGCTTTCTAACTTCTTTAGTGCTTTTTTATCTTGGCACTTTAAAAATATATTTCACCTTCATGACCTAAATGAAAACAAGCTTCCTTGTTTAAGGCTTTAAAATGTAGTGTTCTTATGTGAGTTTTAAAGATAGTGTTGTATCCAGAATGATTCAGATGAACTCTGATATGGTAGAGGATCCATGGTTTCACTCTAAACTACATGAAAGCTTTTTGAAGTGCAGGGGAGAGGGGGGATAGTGCTCCTAATTTTCATAATTACAGTTCAGAATAATTTTTTTTTATATTTCAGCTTGCACAAATAGACATTTAATAAATCCTTTTCTAAATTTAACTAAAGGACATGTTGAAGTATCAGAAAATATATGGGCTTTGCTAATTTTATAGTATTTTATCCTGTTCAGTATGCATATTTAAGTATTTTTTACAGTTATGGTTTCTTGTATTTTCTTGTGTCCAATAAAAACAGACAAGTCTTGGATAATCGGTATGGCCTGAAGCGGTGGCAAATAGGAGAAATTGCTTCCAAGATCGGGCAACTATACTACCATTATTAGTAAGTGAAATGCACGTGAAAAGAATAGTATTGCCCATCTCACAACACAACATGCAGGAGTGTGTATAGTATATCTACTCACTTAGGAAGAATGGCAGTGTGTTACAAATGAAATCTGATTCACACCAAATTGATAAAGACAGCATCATGAAATGACCTTCTATAATCCATTAGATCTGATTTAATAGAGTCTTAAATGAGGTGGTTTTTTTTTTTTTTTTTTTAAGGGGGGGTATAGTGTCTTACTCTGCAGCTTGGATTAGCTCAGTGCAGTGCTGGCATGGCATGCGGTACCAGGGATTGAACCTGGGGCCTTATGCTTTCCAGGCAGGTGCTTAGCTGCTGAACTATCTCTGTAGCCCTTTTTTTGTATTTTTAAGACAGGGTCTCACCATGCAACCCAGGCTGGTCTGGAACTTGCAAAGATCCTCCTGCCTCAGTCTCCTGAGTTCTAGGATTACAAGTGTATAACACCATACCTGGCAAGGAATTTGATCTTAGCTTTAGTTTTGTTTTCTTTTTGGCAGTAATGGGCATTGAACCCAGGGCTGTATACATGCTAGGCTTGATTGAGCTCTACCGCTGAGTTACATTTTCAGCCCTTGATCTTAGGTTTTGATAAAGGATTAATACTAAATGAATTTATTATTTCTATGACTTTAACTCTTGGCAGTTTACACAGAAGTACCACAGCTTGTCTGAGTAGGTTTCAGAAGCACACTTTTAAAAACTTCTTTGTAGAATTCTGAATATTACATAAAATGTAATGAAATTGTATTTAATTTAAATAAATAGGGGGCCTGGCCCTAGCTCAGGCCTTTAAGCGGCTGCTTCCACAAAGCTGTCAGCCTCAGGTTGCTGGAGTTCGAAACTCACACCTCTCCCGCTGGCCAAAAGTGCCCTGAAGGCATTGGAGGA